TTCCAGCCAAAGGAGTCTATTGCATCTAAGAAGAATGTTTTTTTCTAAATTGACCCAAGAGTGTTATGTTCTCCAGAGTTTCAAGGCAAGCAAAATGTCTGAATTTTGAAGATTGTTTTAGTGTCATATTTGCAAATAAGAAATAACTCCACTTACACTTCAAATATTTTTAGAAAGTGCAGAAATGTTGGTTTTTTGAGTAAGCCAAACACACATCTTAAAAATTTCTTCCTTAGCTTAGCTGTATGAAAGGGATGTTGTCATCAAAAAGATATAAAATTGAGCTTCTGGAAACATAACTGTTACTGTATTCATAATGATGATGGATTAAAATGGGCTTTAGTGTATTAAAAATAGGCATAGTAAAGAGATGTAATGAATGTCGAAGACATACTGCAAGAAATGGACTTCTAAAAAACTGCAGTCTCAAAAGAGAAATCCAGAATAATCTACTGCATGCAATGAAAACAAGCAGCTCTGAGAATGAAGAATAACTTTGTAGTAGAAAGCCACCAAGCAAGATTGAGCACAGCCCACAGTTGGAGCTGCACTTTAGTTTTACCAAAGATGGCTGGCATCAACTTCATGAATGCCGGGAACATAGATTCATGTGAGACCTCCAAAAGGTCATCTGAACCAAACCCCTGCTTAAAGCAGGTTCAGTTAGATCAAGTTGCCAAGGGCCTTGTCTAGTGAAGTTTTGAAAGGTCCTTTTCAGGTCCTTTTCTGCAAAGCTGATTTACAGGCGGTTGGCCCTGAGTGTGTACTGGTAAATGGCATTATTCCTCCCCTCGTGCCGCTGTTGAACGCTGTGAGGTTCTCCAGCCTGTCCAGGTCCCTTTTGAACAGCAGCCCTGCCCTCCAGCATACTGACCACTTTTTCCCAAGTTGGTATTGTCCACTCACTTGCTGCGAATACATGCAACCCATCATTCAGGTCATTAATTAAGACATTAAATAGTTTTGGCCACAGTTTTGATTCCTGAACAACTACTGTTAATTGGCTGCCAGTTGAATTTTGTGCTCATAATCATCAGACGTCGAGCCTGGCTCACTGTCCATTTGTTCTCCATATCAGTTTGGCTCGTGACTGAGTATTTAGCCAGTTGTAGGTTCAAGCAAACTTTCTTCACATAGCACTTTGATATACATTTAGGATACGGTGGTATTTTATGTTAAGGCAATCACTTGCTGTCTTTATCAATTAGCTAGTAGATAGACAAAGGCATCAGTTTATGAGCTGTGCTGTATGAATGAGTACATCTGTTGGTTCATCACCAAGCAGTATTTATCCTCATGTTGCTAAAACTATACCTTGGATAAACAAATAATAAGCAGGCCAAATATTTACTTACTTCTTGATTAGTTCAGTATTATGCCTCTCCTCCCTTCCTTTGTAAAGTAAGGCAATTCCTACTGCTCAAGAGGACATTATAACCTAGAAAAGTAGGTCAAAATTATCAACAAAATAGATTAATGAATGAAATAAAGTTAATAACATGCTTGTTGAGTTGCATTAAATACTGTCATACTTCTTTTTCTGAGAGATTCAGACAGAGAAATTGCTTTTCTGAGAGTAAAACACAGCATTATAGGTTGCCTAGAGGATAATTGAAAGGAGAAGTAAATTGTTCTACAGATCAATAAATTGTTTCTGTACTGTAATGACAGATAAGCCATGTAGTTTATTGAAAGAAAGATGAAGATCGCCTATATGTATTTGAACAATGTTTCAATTAGCATAGATTAAAGTCCTGCAAAGTGGTATGACTATCCTATACAGTACATTAACTGGAAAAGAATACTAATTTACTCATTTAATGAGTTAAGTGAATGCATCTGAGTGAATGTTAACATAAAAATTGAGAACCAAATCAGCCTCTACAGAATCTTGATCTGTAAGCCACCAGGCAGCTCCTCTAGAACCATTTAGAGCATCCCCAAGACTGTTTGAAATTTCTGCTTTACAACAGCTCCTGGAAGGCTGCGATGCTGGGAGTGTAGGAATAATCTGTTCAACTCAGGCAGATTTGGTGAAACAGTTTTGATACAGACTGGTACCTGATCCTCAGGGCTCCTAAATTCCCAACTAATTTTTAGAGGGTTGAGACAGACTCAGCTTATAACAAAGAATCATAAATTCACAGTATATAGATCCTACATTATTTTAATGTCCTATCAAAATTTATTCAATGCTCAAGGAAATGTTCAGTTGAGCCTTTAGTCAGTTCCTTTACTTTCCAGTAATAAAGTTTACAACAATTTAGTGTTGAGTAAGAACATTTCCAGTTTCCACTGCTAGTCTAAATAAGTATCTATAATATATTTTATCTAACCTTCATGTTGCTGAATTTTATCCTCTCATGTCTTTCTTCGTTTCAGATAGTATTGTCTGTAATTATCTATTTGGCTAATGTCTGTATGAGACATCTTCAGGCTGTCTCTGTGAAGCAGTGGTTAAATACTCGTTGGGAAACATTTCTGACCTTATGATCTAAGAGTTTTTATTTTTTAACAGTTTTCTTTTCATTCCATCTATTTTTTTTAAAACATTTCAGTTCTACAAATACTGACAGATAATTAATGAGTGATTTCAAATATTTGTTTTGCTTGAAGTTTTCATATTTCAGAATGTTTGAAGCTGGTATCAGTAAAATGATTTTCTGAAACAGATGGCTAACACTTGGGGTGTGATTATAAAGAAGTATGTACTGTCATGTGGATATATTTGAACTAGCTTGACTATCTGGAAGTCTCTAATTAGTTCACCCTATCATATGGGTTATAACACTTCCAATTCCTGAAGTGGCTTGATTATATAACATGTTCTTTATGGCCTCTACATAACATACTCTTTATGGCCTCAACCTTTTCCTTTTCGGAATGCATTAGTCAAAGCAAAAGTGTCAAAAGACCACATTTCACATTTATTTTAACAATAAGTAAATTCCAAAATTAATCTCATCCCATCACTGTAATTTTATGTATGATATAAAGCAACCAGCAATAGGAAAGTGTCGGTTGACATCGTCTGTAAACATGAAGCGTTGCAAAAGAATGCATGGCAGAGCATTTATTTGGAAATTTGTGAAGATGGCTTTTATACGCATATCAAAGAATTGCATCAAAGAATTAACTATGTGTTTTAATTGAATCAACTACTAAGCAATTTTCCTGTTATATCAGTGTTGGTATTTTATTTTTTCATGTGGTAAATTATACTTTTCCTCTTGTTCTGCTGGACATTTCTTGTTTTCCTTGAGATTTCCCTAATGCATGGTAACTTATTTTTTGTTTTCCTAAGAAACCTTTCCTTTTGGACTAACAAAGTTTAGTGCTCTCGTCCATCCTTTTCACACTACTGTTTGTTTATTAGTATTATGGGCTACTATTACGAAAACAGTTCAAGATTATAAATAAGTTTAGGAACCATTGTGCAAGGAATTAGACAAATTTATAATAAAATCTTCTATTTTCTAATAGGTGTCTAAAATGTTAGTTGTATTTTAGTGATAACGTCCATTCTCTCTGCAATTGCAACTTCTGTAGATTCATAATTTCTTCAATCCATCCAACAAATAGTGTTTTTCTGCCATAATGCAGGTTTAATCTCTGAATTAAATTTAAATTTTACCTTTCTCTTTCTACATGCAGAGGGCACCTCTGCGGTCATGCCAGCTCATTCAAACTCAGCAAACTGTAACAACATGTTAGCTTTGATATGTAGCATCTTCTGATTCACTGTCCTGCACCTCGGTGTTGCACTATTGCATTCACTATGCAGAATGACTAAGGGGAATATAGAAGAAACTCTGTAAGAGTTTTAGAAGATATGTAATAACAGAGGTTGTTATTTTGCTCTCTTTTCTGTGTTGGTGGTTGACCTGTGATGTAAACTGTGCAGACTGTTGGGGAGGGATTTGGATGGGGGACTGTTTGGGGTGGGGTTTGGTTTGTGCACACCTTCTATTGAATGTGTATTCTTCTTTTCAGTGCTGGTAGATTTCAACATCGGTGATGTGTTACAACACTAGAATTATTGGGGAAGCTTTCTTTGAGCTGTCTTTCTGGCCTAGTTTCAGGTGGAAATTGAGGTTTATGTAGTCACATTGTGCCTGTTAGCCACTTTTTTCTCCTTGTGGCATCTTCCTGTCCCCCAGGCAACGTTGTATCTGTTAGGAGATTGAATCCAAAAGGACAGAGACAGTTAAGAAAATTATTTTTCAAAAAAATATTTCATTTTCTAATGATTAACCTAACAGTTCATAAAAACACCGTTGTGTTTTGTGTAACATAGTGTTATGGATGCTTTTTATGGGCACAAATGTGCAATACTTTTATGTACTCATTATGTTCGTTTTTCTTTACCGTGGATACCGAGTAAGATTTGTGTGCAAAGGTTTTTGTGCTGCAACAAAAACACTACCAAGTGGTAATGGTAAAATATTAAGATTTATTACATTTTTCTGTAGACAAAAAATACGTGTTGACTCAATGTTGCAAAATATGTATTGATTCAATGTTGCAAAATGTTGATGCAATGCTGCAAAATTATCAGATTTCAGAAAAACAAATTATAAATGTAACATACAAAGATTTTCCAGTTCAAAAGTACTCATTTGACTATTCATTTGATGGTAAGTTAGTGAAGATAAATATGTTTTGGTTATGGAAGAGATAAACTTTTAAAAATACTGGTGTGAAGTAAGCTTCAGAGTTAATTTCTGTGTTATGTGATGAACAGCAAAAATAACTGTGAAAACCAGAATCCTGCATTATGGAATTTGGATTTTGAATAGGGAACGAAGGCATGCCAAGTAAAATACAATTCCCTTTTGAGTTCTTTCAGGAATCTAAATAAGTTCATAGGTTTATTTGTCAGTTTTGCTTATGAAATACTATTCTGTTTACTCAGACGTGTATCAAGCACATAACAGTTCTCTAATGTAGATTGTCTAGAAAATGTCTAAACTATTGTGATTTTTTTTTCCCCCCGTCAGAACATTATCAGCTGTATGTTCCTGAATCAGCTCAAGTTGGATCAGCAGTTGGCAAAATCAAAGCAAATGATGCAGACACTGGTTCAAATGCAGACATGAAGTACACAATTATAAATGGTGATGGCTCTGGGGTCTTCTCCATATCTACTGACAAAGAAACAAGGGAAGGAATTCTTTCCCTGAAGAAGGTAAGCAATAGACTGAAAGTTTCCTGTGTATGTAATAAAATTATAATGATGAATGCAGAATAAGCAGACACCATGATGAAAATATTTTACTGTGTAAACCTATTGAACCATGAACTTCAGTGGTGTAAGCTTCTCCACATTGCTTCCTGAGACACTAAATCTCTGCAGGAAATTCAGGGAGAAAAGAAATTGAATGAAAGAAACAGTTATTTAAATCTTCTGTGCTTTTTGAATGGTCATATCTAATACTTATAAGAAACTAAATCTTACTGAATTTTTAATTAAGATAGTTTAATTTTTCTGAATAGTGGTTTTGCACATTAAATTTCTTTGAAAGACGTGAAATTTGGCTGAAAGTTGTGCTGTTGACCCCAACCTGCATGAATCTTGACATAGAAAGTTTATCTGTGACAATGACCGTGTAATTCAATTTTCATGGATTGTTATTCTTTGACTTAATTGCCAGCTGGTGTCTAAAGGGTCAAGTATTGTGCACTGTGTAATGTAAATACCAACTTGCTTATAAAGACTCAAAAGGTAACTGGTCAAGCCATCACACAATCATAATTTATATGAATTTCCTATACTTACCCCAGTCTATTTAAACTATTAATTATAAAGTGTTCTTGCCATTTAGTTTCATTCTTAACTGAACTCCATGCACAAATATAATTCCATAGATAATTTCATCTCCATATTAGGTCCTCTGAACTGAGTTCATAGTGAACGTTTCCTGAAGTGTCTGCCAACTTATGCTAATATTCTATGGCTAGATGTAAATTTACTTTTATAATAACCCAGAGATACAGGTTGTTACATTTAAGTAATATTTTTTAAAAAAACTTTCCAATAAAGGGAAATAATTTCTTTATTTCAGTTTTCAGTTGGACTAACAGACATCAATTAGCAATTGTCATGTGGATTTGTTGTTATTGAGTCTTGTAGGCATCAATTATATCCATACAGCCTAAAAAAAAAAAGTGAATTTGTATTCATATTTGGTAATATGTATTCTGGGCCTGACTAAGGATAGGAGGAATGAAAATGAGAGAAAATGTGGGAAAAGAAAATAAATAAAAACAATCATAAAGAATTTTTTTTTTGCATCTGAATAGGTATGTATATAAGTAAATTTTTATTTAACATCTTCAAAAAGATTTTATAACTGAAGGAAATGTTATTTTTATAATTTGTAATGATTTTAAAAGGATTCCTATCTCTCCCAATATCTTAAAAAGCTTTAATTCAGTGTCTTTTGTAAAGGTTGTGTAATACCCACCTCTTTCAGCCACATAAAAGTAAACTCTGTCTTTTTTATACCATTAAACTTACTTGCTGGTGGTCTTGATGTAGCTAATGCCATAATCTGTTATTTTTTCTTCAAAATGAGCATTGTTCTCTGTTTAAAAGTTCACCAAGACTATTGTTCAGTAAATACAACATTTATGCATATTGAGACCATGAAGCAGAAAGGAAGAATTTGCAACAAAATGAAAGAGTCCACACATAAAAAGTGTAAAATCACATTTCCTACTGGTTTTGGCAGACAAAATAGCTTCAGAGAAATTTTCACTGTTTTAGAATATGACAAAGGCATATGTTGCCTGTTCTTATACATACACATGACAGTTATTTGAGTCATTTTCCCATCAAGACAAGAAGGGGGTACATTTTGCTTAGGTAATGTTATATTTCAGTTGAGCAGAAATTCAGCACTTACAAGCTACGTAAATCAGTGTAAAATACCTCTATTCTTTTGTCAGAGAAGTTATAATATTCCCTTGTACAGTACAAAAAGGTGGTCTCCTTTTTTAATTTTTTTTTTAACTCAGATCTTGTATGCAGTTTAGTATTTTATATACCTTGTGCTGTGATTACTTTTAATTTAGATTGGGTTTGAAGCTGAATTATTTGGATAGTCTGCCCAAAAGAGAGAATCTTCACTAAGAACAGAACCAGTTTTGCTTCGTATACCGGATGCCAGTACCTTCTATAACAGTAGAATAGAATGATTTGGCCCCTTCTCTGGAAGAATGTATAGTAGGCATATCAGAAAGGCCAGAAGTAAATATATTATTGTGTCTGAAGATCTGAAGTCCTCCTCAAACCTTTTGAAACTTCACTTATTTGAGATTCTGATGCAAAAATCAATTTTCTCAGCGCCTCCATGCTAAGCCTAGCATGGAGGCATGCAAAGTTCAACAGGCATGCGAAGTCTGTGAGTGTTGGAAGGCATCTTTTCCAGTCTCATTCTGGGCTGACCCAAAGCATCTGGTACTTTCATTATCTCCCCTATTGACAAGCCCTGTGGAGCCACCTTTCAGTCTCAAAGATCCTGACACAAAGGGTTGATTGCAAACTGTCATAAAGGATTTCCCCTTTGCCTCATGCAATTCCTTGTTTGAGTGGGAGACTAGAGGACACCAAAACAAAGTAGCACAGTGAAAGCCATTACTCTCTGGATCCTTCAGAGAATGTCTGGTCAACGTGTTCACCCCTTGTTATGACTTTCGGAGAAGTATGCTAGAACTTTCCTGACCTCAAGTCAGCAAGTATCATTCAAGCTTCCCAGAAAAGAAATGGTCTGAACAGCCTATAGCTCTTCCATTTTGTATAATGAAACTGGAGATGTTCAGGAAGCAGCTATTTACTTCTCATAAAATCCTGCTATTCCTTTTGGGAGTCTGGTATTAGAAACACAACCTGCAGTATAATCAACAGCAGTATTTTCTAGTTAGCCCTATGACTGGTCATAAAATCATAGAATCATAGAATACCCTGAGTTGGAAGGGACCCACAAGGATCATCGAGTCCAACTCCTGTCCCTGTGTAGGACAACCCCAAAAATCTCACCATATGTCTGAGGGCGTTGTCCAAATGCTTCTTGAATGCTGTCAGGCTTGGCACCGTGACTGCCTCCGGGGGCAGCTTGTTCCAGTGCTCCACTACCCTTTGGATGAAGAACCTTTTCCTAATGTCCAACCTGAACCTCCCCTGGCATATCTTCCTGCCATTCCCTTGGGTTCTGTCATTGGTCATCAGGGAGAAGACATGAGCGCCTGCCCCTCCTCCTTCCCTTGTGAGGAAGCTGTAGACTGCGATGAGGTCTCCCCTCAGTCTCCTCCAGGCTGAACAGACCAAGTGACTTCAGCCGCTCCTCGTACGACTTCCCCTCTAAACCCTTCACCACTTGAGCTACGTTTAGTGTTTTCAGTTTTGCATGAATATCAGAGTAACCAATTAATACATACCGAAGATATGTGGGCAATGGTCATGGAAAGACATTGTGCTTTGGGAAAACAAGAAACATGAACAACAAATCTGTTTAGGTCCATCTAAAATTTAAATGTTTTGTTTTCTTCCCAGGAAAGAGTTAATGATTGTCAGTGTTAGGACAATTTTAAGTAAATGTGAAAATTATCATCTAGATTTCTAGAGAGACAAGATAGTGCTGCCTCTCTTACCTTATAGCTACAGCTAATGACTGAGATAGGCAACTGATACTCAAGGCCTGCCTGTGAGTTAAATGAGGGAGAATTTAAACTTTCCTGAGTTGGAAGGGACCCACAAGGATCATCGAGTCCAACTCCTGTCCCTGTGTAGGACAACCCCAAAAATCTCACCATATGTCTGAGGGCGTTGTCCAAATGCTTCTTGAATGCTGTCAGGCTTGGCACCGTGACTGCCTCCGGGGGCAGCTTGTTCCAGTGCTCCACTACCCTTTGGATGAAGAACCTTTTCCTAATGTCCCCCCGCACCCCCCCCTGGCATATCTTCCTGCCATTCCCTTGGGTTCTGTCATTGGTCATCAGGGAGAAGACATGAGCGCCTGCCCCTCCTCCTTCCCTTGTGAGGAAGCTGTAGACTGCGATGAGGTCTCCCCTCAGTCTCCTCCAGGCTGAACAGACCAAGTGACTTCAGCCGCTCCTCGTACGACTTCCCCTCTAAACCCTTCACCACTTGAGCTACGTTTAGTGTTTTCAGTTTTGCATGAATATCAGAGTAACCAATTAATACATACCGAAGATATGTGGGCAATGGTCATGGAAAGACATTGTGCTTTGGGAAAACAAGAAACATGAACAACAAATCTGTTTAGGTCCATCTAAAATTTAAATGTTTTGTTTTCTTCCCAGGAAAGAGTTAATGATTGTCAGTGTTAGGACAATTTTAAGTAAATGTGAAAATTATCATCTAGATTTCTAGAGAGACAAGATAGTGCTGCCTCTCTTACCTTATAGCTACAGCTAATGACTGAGATAGGCAACTGATACTCAAGGCCTGCCTGTGAGTTAAATGAGGGAGAATTTAAACTTTGGTTTTACACATTACAAGTGAACATCTTTACAAGTAATTTATTTGAGTATTTGCTTCTCTTGGAGAGAGCAGGGGGTCAAAAAGGACATCTTTCTGTTTGACTATTTGGAGTTAATTGTGAATCCTATTGTGAATCTGATGGGATAGTTGAAATATTTCCTTTGTAAATATAAATTATTTTGCACTACCATTTTTATGCCCAAACTCTTGCTGAATTGGAATAGCTTAGGTATTTTAAGCTGAATGTTATGATGAATAAATTAGATTAAAAAAAGATGGGAATAAAAACCTCCTACTGGTAAACAGCTCAGATTACCTGAAATAATGGATAAGTCTGTGAGCAAATTTCTTAGCACAGCATTAGACAGGCCCAATTTGTTCTTCAAATGTAAGGTAAATGTCAATTTCAACACATACACAGTGTTTAAGCAGGAACCTAGCAAAATACAGTTCTGTAGATTCAAATTGCAACAAGATTTCAGTTTTTTAATATTTTATCAAAAGTAAAAGGAAAAGTGATGTGACAACTGGACTTGTGAGTTGTTCAAAGATGTCGAATAGCACAGGGCATGCTTTGCTTGTAAATTTCCTTACTTCTCCTCAGGAGACTACAAAAAAAATAAAAAAAAATTGTTACTAATTGTGACCCCTGGTAATAATAATCCTTAGTACAGTACGTGTCTTTTCTGTCTAAAATAGCTCAATGTTGAAAATAGTGTTGTTTTTTCACCTCCGTGAATCACCGTACAGAAGAGTAAGCTCTTTTTCTTTTATGTCCCAGTAACCGATTCTTTAATTCAGAGATGTTATGAGAAGAAGAAGAAAAAAAATGAAAGTAAAAAAAATGCTTTGTCTATGGTTGAAATGTCAGCTTTTTCTGATTACATGAATGGATTATTCTCGTATTTCTAGAAAAAAAAAAGTATTGGTAATGTCTGATTGAATAACTACATAAAAGAAAGAAAACAAGACTTTAGACCTTGTGTTATTCATCGTGTGTTTTCTTAGAGAAATTAATCTTTCTATAAAACCTAACCCAGTCATTGTCAGTATAAACTTAAGTTAATTTTCCAAAAAGGCATCATAGTTACAGTTTGCAATCCTATTGTAAACTTGTTTAATCTTGGAATATATATGCTGCAGAGCAATGCAAATTACTAAATATTTCCCTCCTCATAACAGAAATACATCATAAATTAATGAACGACATTTGAGTTACAATTTACTAAACTTATGTTTCTTTATGAATTGATTTAATTGAGTATTATACTTAGCTCTTTTTTTTTATAGTAATAGATTTATCAGGCTATGGTAAATTTCCATGCCTTTAAAATTTTAATTTTTACATTCAGGAAAAGGAGACAGAGAAAGCAAAATACAAAAAATTCTCATACTATTAGAGTTAAGAGAATGAATTAATTGTCCTTCAATACACAGAGGAGAAATGAAAGAAATATATAGCATATATAAATAATGACCAGCTATTTTTCTTATACATCATCAGTCAAATTTACTGTAGATTTTACCTACAAAATACACACTGACATTGACAAATCACACATTGGGTTCCTCATATTTCTTGTCTTCAGTACGGCTTTTCCATTCTTTGCGGTGATAGGAAATACCAGTTTAGTCTTGGTCAAAGGCTTGAATACTTGTACTGAGATCTGTTCAGGCAGACTGTCAGGTCCACACAAAACGATACTGGTCACAGTGGAATTCTGCCATGCCATAATGTCGTAATAATTTCAATTCTAAAAAAAAATTCCACGCGTATGCAACTTCTTTTAGTATTATGCCTGTGTTCAGAGACTGTTGGAAACTTAGTGGTGGTATATATATATCTGTACAAACTATTTGCTTTGCTCAGTATGATAATAAGTATTAAACTACCTGTCCTTTATGAATTGGCTGAAGCCAGAAATTTGTAATCCAGTAGATATTGAGGTGTCTGTTATCAAGAATAAGTGCTTTTGCTCAACGCAGAAGCACATTTGAAAGATAGCAATGTGAAACTTGAAATCTGTCCTATGGCTGCCTGGAACTGAACTGGTATTTTTTAAAGGCTTTTCAGTAATTAGAACTAACAGGCAATATATGGAAAAAATAACTTCTCGCATGAAATTCTTGATGGACTGTCTATGAAAAGTAGTCAGTTACTTCAGTGAGACTGAAGAAACCAACTCAAAATAGTTGTGGTCCTGTAAATGGCTTCCAGTATATACATTGCTTAATTCTATATCTGCTAATGGAACTTTGTTACTTGTGTACTTTTAAGTTAAATATCCTTTTAATCCCCTCTGCTACATAACTATCTGACACTGGAAGAGTTGAGAGTTGGGTGTGTCATGTTTATCCTATATCTTGCATAAGACAGTGTAATAGCATGCTAGTGTAGGGTTAAAATAAATATATCAAGTCAGTAAAATTAGTTGACAATACTCTGAAAACCAGCTGAACTCAGGAGATGAAATTTTCACATGTGTAAATAGCAAGCTAGGAATGGGACTCCTAAGAAAGGAAGTATCCATGCTCTGTGATGTATGAGTCAGACCCCCAGCTTCTTCCTTCTTAGTAGAGAGGTAGGATTCCTAGTAGACATCTATTGATTTGAATAACAGAGCAATGCTGAAGTGTCAGTGGTGCTTCTGGTGGATGGTACAGCTGGGGATGTGCCTTCTGTTGGGTTTTATTGGAACATTAGGCTCTGTTGCATTTTTCAGTTGAGGATTTAAGACCAGAGATGCCCAAAAGAATTTTAGTATCCCTATCACTGTCTATTAAACTTGTTAATTAAAGATATGAAGTCAATTTAATTTGGGATACATCAGTCTCTACCTTTTTCACTATTTAGCATTGATCACTAAAAATCAAAAGGTGATAAAATCCAGAGACTTTACATTATCATGGAAGAAGAATCTGAGGCTCATTCTAAAGCCTTAGTTTTTCCAAAACTGGTACTTTGCCCACAATTCTGTTGTAGAGAAAACCTGAATCCATCCTGCTTCATGTATATCCTTCTACTTACAAGGTATGGCAGTGGCTGCCAGAATAGCACAGAATATTATCCCTTTCCAGTAACATGAAAAAATGTGGTTTAAGGTAAATGGGAAAGACACAGTTAGCTTGCTAGCAGGCTAAAATGAAGCACAGAATGGCATTGATAAATCTTTTTTTCTGCCAACAGCCGCTCAACTATGAAAAAAAGAAATCATATACACTTAATATAGAAGGAGCAAATACTCACCTTGATTTCCGTTTTTCGCACTTGGGACCATTCAAAGATGTAACAATGCTGAAGATCATTGTTGGCGATGTGGATGAACCTCCGCTCTTCACTATGCCTTCCTATGTCATGGAAGTTTATGAAAATTCAAAGATCGGAACTGCTGTTGGCACAGTAACAGCACAAGATCCTGACGCTGCCAACAGTTTAGTGAGGTATAGTAAGTCCAAATTATAAGGGATTGAATTCCACCAGGTAAAGGGTTAATGAGATCTGGGATGTATGAAACTATGTCTTTTATTGTAGTACATAAAAGGAAACATAGGTCAGAACAGTGTCATGATCAGTCTGTATGGATTAGATTTAATAACGTAAATTTCAGCCTTTGTTGGTTTGCAGTAAAATTGCCATCTAGCCATAGGTTTGAGCAAAGATCTGTGTACACTAGTTCCTGTAACATCATCTCTCCAAACGGCCCGCTGAACAAGGCCAGTATTGTTACCACATCACATAAAATGGTGCACTTCACTGGCCTGCTGCCAATCAGTATCCTGTCACTAGTTATAAATTTCTTCAGGATCATAATGCTGGTTTTCCCCTGTTACGCCGGGATTGTTCTGGCCCCCTGCACACTTGCCACACTGTAGTTGTCCCAGGTGCTTGTGCAAGACAGGAACTGGTTTAGGTACTCCTTTCCTCACAGACATGCAGTATAATTTTTGCAAAATTGTGTTTGAGGAGGAAGCCATTATTTTGTAACATGCTTTGGTTTTAGTGGGGTATCAAAAGAATAGAATGGGTGTAATAATGCACCCCACTGATGTTGTTAGGGATATGTCGTGTCATCTCCAGTTGTGAGGTCTAGGGCAAAGAGAGGTGCTGAGAAGCAAGCACTTGCAGCGTCAGATACATAATTTGAAAACTAAATGAATATGTAACATACTAGGAAGGAAAGATTTTGATAGTCTTTTTAATGAAATTCATTCTTAAAGAAAATGTTCTCAAACAAAAAAAAAGAAGAAAAAAAAAAAAGAAGGATTTCTGTGTTGCTGATCTGTCCAGAATACTTCTTGTAATAACAGAACTTGCTTGGAAATAGGTCATGGTCTGAACTAAGGAACTGAATTCAAGCTGGAAATACCCCCACAGCAAGCTTGAAAAAGCATTGATGCCAAAAATATACATATGGATGTCAATTTGACGACTTCTAAATTTAAGAGCATTTGGATTTAACCTTGAACACTCTGGATTTGGGGTTTGAATTCATTACTGGTTTAAAGTTTTCAGTTACATGTTTTCAGCTATAATAGGATCCAATGACATTTTTTACTGGCTTCATTTGTGGGATGAGTTACTTTCTAAACTGACATGCAGTATAAGAATTTTGTGGAACAATACATGAATGTTTGTCTCAGAGATGGTAGTGGATTTAAAATATTTCAGAATAAAAATTCTTCGTGAAAACATATTTGATGCTATTCCTTTTTATGACATAATGGTATAGCTTTTGTGGAAATCATATGAGTATATACTTGGAAAACAGTTTTTCTTAAGCTAATTGGGCATTTTTAGTCTCCTGACTGAGTTGAAATTTGCTGGGTATGCGTAATAGTCTTGGTAAGATGAAACAATTTTTGTAAAACAATGAAAGCATCAGGTTTTTATGGTTCTCTTGTGCTAATAGTCTAAGATTCAAAATGTTTCGTGTCAGACAATCGATATATATGATTTCTGAGTGGCAAGTTATTGCCTTTGAAAAATTACCACTATGGTATTTGTGTCTAAATCGTAACATAAATAAGAAAATTTTGCTAAGAATAATTGTCAAGTGCCTGTAGCTTTAATTCTGTACTATAATTCTGAAACAGCAGTTAACACAGTCAGATAGATTAGCCATCATGGTAGTTTGGGAGGAGGAAGGGCAAGTGCAGATTTAACTAGTTCCTCCATAATTCAACCATCTGTGTCCCCTAAGAGTTTTGTCTAGAAAGGGGTAAGACAACTGTGGTAAAAGGGAAGCAGCAGCAGTTTGTACAAAGGCTAGGAAGGCCAGAAATAGATTTTCAGGGTGAAATGGGCAATAATTTGGCGATAGAGGGATTGGAAGGAAAAATATTTCCAAACATTTTGCTTTTTGTATTGGCCTTTTCTTCCAAACAGAAATTTGTTACCAGTGATTGAGGCCAGAATATTAAATATCCATATTATTCATATAATTGAGAAGAAATATCATCCTTACTTTTGTCTATCCTATTATTTCCCCCCATTCACATTTATTTTTGCATTGTTCCTTCCATCTCTCTATTTCAATGGGAAACAAAATAAAGTGCTAGCAAAACACACTGAATCATGAAGCTCCAAAAGGAGGCAGCCCTCAGTTACAGGTTGGAAGGTTTTGGCAAGGGCAGTAGTGGCACAGATATCCTTGACATATCATTATATTGTGACCGGGTCCACTCTCTAGCCAGGCTTTACCCGTCTTGGTCAAACTGACAGTGAATGTCGTTTGTGAGCGTGCGGGCTTTTTATAAAAACACTGATCCTTTAAGGCCTGGACTAACACGTAGGACTCTGAGGAGGCACCAGGCTGGGTTAGTGTGCCCTCAGGTTCTCCTTGAGCCTCCTCCTGCAGGAGGAGAACGGCTGCTCTGGGAATGGGCAACTTGAACCCCGCTTCCTAACCTCCCTTTGCACACCAGTACTGACACAGTGCAGAAGGGCTTTGTGTTTCAAGATTTGGCTGCAGCTTGGGAAACTATGGGTTGGAAGCGGCGCATGACCTGAGAAGCGGGCCGGGTTGGCCGGGCTGAGCTGCTGCTCCACTGGAGGCTGGGTCCTGCCCCACGCTCTGCTAACAGCGACAAGCAAAGGAGCAGCTTGGAGGAGGCCGTTTTTCTCAGAAGTGTGCACACAGTGCACTTACGTCCTTCAGTGCTGGTTTACAAGAAATGCCTTCACAGTTCGTCTGAAACCCTGATGAGTCTGAAAGATAGTCTGAGGGTAATGAGATCACGTCTCTCCTTCGTTTCCACACAATTCCTAGTTCATTCAATATAAAAATAGTGATTATAAAAATAAAACCAGCAAGATTCAATGTAACTTTCTTAGAAGGCACAGATCACACAGTCTCCAGGGAAGATAGCTGCAGATAAGACTTGCATAGCTGATCTATGTGGAGCAATGGAGTAATGGTTCCTCAGGCAAATGGCTCAGATACATCTCCAAATGCTGTAAATCTGCAGGACAAGCTATGGAGCAGCGATTTGCTTAACAGTTTTTCCTAATCCACTTGTGCGTCCTTTCCACTTTATGAGGAAGCTTGTTGCTGTGTGTGAGATTGATAAAGCATTAGGCGCACACAGTTGCAACCATGTCACTTTGCTGTCCGGCTGCTGAAAGAGATACAGTGCTGTGATTTGTTCACTGCGCAATTAAGTAACAGTTTATTTTGGTGGCAGGAACAATTCTTATAACCAGAATAATGGGTAGAGGAGTACTTAGAGTAATTAACAATGCTGAAAGGAAATCTTTTTAAAAAATAGTTATTTGTACTAAACCCAAAAAATAAATAACAACCTCTATTGTTATCAGTAGAAAGGGAACTGAAGGCTTTTTTATCCTTATTTCCTCACTGTAATTTCATCACAGTGATTTCAACTTGTTCCTGAGCTGAACAGTCTTCACAGTGCACTTACTTTGTGCCAGTGCTTGTACTAGTGTTTTACTTTTTCAACCCCAGCAAAAAAACCTCTGTAATAACAAATGTAGCTATTAAGTTTTCTTTTATTTGGACATTATCTGGTTGGCAATTTGGGCTGTTTTAAAGGATTTTTCTCTTTAAGTTGATTTTTTTTTCCTTCAAATAGGTAGAAATGCATTTTCAAGGAAACTTAGAAATGCTATGTTTTGAAATAAAAGTTTACTATTGTATTGAAATATGAGAAGCAAACATAATCATAGCATAAAAAAGAAAGATATTAAAAATCCATTGTGTATAAATTTAAAGATAAAGATTTTGGAGTGGTTTGAAAAGCAGCTATTTACTTAAAAAATTGCATCCTAAATCAATGGAAAACATCCTAAATTGTAATTCATTCATAGGGGTTACTGCCTTATTGGAACATTTGTGAGAAACTGAACACTTGCATTACATTGTGTCAAGTAGTCTGCTTCCATACCAAAATCTTTTGTTGCTTGAAAAGATCAGGGTTAAGTTATGTCTTATAATAATATCTGGTGTGCAAGTGGGTCTTGAAGGTTTCCCACACAATATGAAAGAAAGCATGACTATTACATGCTCTAATTAAAATTTTATTTTAGTATATTATTCATTTTAAGTCTTTCCATACTTACTTAGAAATTATCTATTTTCTTCCTGAACCCATACACAGAAGACTTCCATGGGGATTAGGGGTGAAAACAGCTTTTAATTGGCAAGTTGCATATGTGTACTGGGAGCAGCCCTAGGCTGCTAGTACTGCCTCAGGGCTGCAGTAGTGCCTGTTGAAACCCTGCCATCTTCCTGTAGGTGATTCTTGGGTGCTGAGTCCGTCTAGCCACAAATTCCCAATGATCCTTGGAGCTTTCTGGCTGCATCTGGTCTGTTTTCAGTGGAGTGGTTTTCAGAAAAATAATGTTGTTGCTGTTCCCCAAGCGCCCTCCAAACTAGTGATTCAGAAAAGAGCAAAGGCATAGTTTTAAGAACATGATACCTTCTGAAACTCCGGTATAATAGTGAAAATAGTTGCATGACATGGGCAAGTTCCCTGATATTAAATTGATCCCAGTTTGATACTGTCTAATAAGGAACTGAAAGTCTTTATTAACACTGTACCCTGGTAAGAGTAGTTTTTGAGAAATAAGTCATGCTATTATAGAAATTTAGCCTGCATACAGCATAAAGTCAGCTCACTCCTTTTGCTGCTGCTGTGCAATCTTTGTCATGCAGTGGCACACGAGGCAAATCACTGTTTTGAGCACTAGTGACAGGGCCTCTGTCCCCTCTCGTCATTTGTTACTCCGACTTACTATGTTTGACTTAGGTTGTTTGTATTTCTGGGCAAGAATGATCTCTTCCCAGATATTTAACAGAAGACTCCTGGCAAATGGGGTATGGCTACTGATCAGCACTCTGAGTGTAATGGTAGTGTCAAACAATAAGAAATGGAAGCACCTTCCCTTTTCAGAATGATGTTTATCATGGCTTGGTTAAAAA